TTTATTTACTTATTTATTTTGTGGAACCGGGGATTGAACTCAGGCCCTTGTGCTTGCCTGGGAAGCACTTATTCCACTGAGCCATCTCCCCGGCCCTACTCTGCATTTTATGTTCATTAAAGTTTTATTGAAAATAACTACAAAGTATAATTTGCATAGCAGTGATTTTAAAATAGTATTTTTACTGTAATACAATAAACCACAAAATGTCTCTGTAGAGCAAGGCATGACTTTTCCATGATATTCATCAGAAGAGCCGTATTTAAGTGTCTTAAATAAATATTATTTATTTATTTATTTATTTAAGTCAGTGGCTCACTGTGTAGTTTAGATTGGCCTTAAACTCCCCATATAGCCCAGGCTGATCTTGAGCTTGCAGCAGCAGTCCTCCCTTCTTGAGCTGCTGAAGTGCTGGGATTACAGGCATGTGCCATTGTGGCCAGCTAATCAGTTTTAACCCAAAGCAAATTAATGCCATATAACCAATTTTCCTTTCAACAGAATAATTACAAAGATAGGATCATAAATCTCCTATTAAGCACTTTTGTATGAAACCTGAGGTTTTTGTCAAATTAGACATGGAAAATTAAACAGAGCTGCACAAATTACTGATCTGTGCATTTTTTGAATTCTCTCATGTTAGACTTTTGTTTTTAAAACATGACTTTATTAAATACTTCACAAGGATATTATGATTTTTGAAAATTTTTCGTTTCAGTAGTTTTTTTTTTTTTTTAACCTTGCCCCAAAGAATTTAGTGATTTTTGTTTTTTCCTCTGTAAGATATCTTTATTCTTAAAGGGCATTCCCACTTATTTTGATTTTTGTGAAAAAAGTATTTCTTCAGATAATTGAATATCTTAGTACATTTTTGACTTTATTAGACAGTGTATATAAAAATGTTGATTTTCTTTCATGCTTTATACTTTAGTTCACAACTGATACACTTTATCATGGTCCCTGTTCATGTGTATTGTCTTCTAAGCTCATGAATTCTCTGAAATACCACAATTCCCCTCACTCTTGACTGTGGTAAAGCATTATTTTGGCTACTTTGTCAGAACTGCTTGTGGCATTCTAAAGATTACCACTTTAGTAGCTCCCTAGGCTATGTGCCCATAAATGGAAAATTTCTTCCCTGAGTCCAAGTAAAGTAATAGTTCATCTGTGAGCTTTGTCAGGACCCACACATATTAATTAAGAAGAAAAATTATGTCTATTCTGTCCCCTCAGCCTTGATTCCTATCAACTCGTGCAAGGATTTCACTGATACAGCAATTATTATGTATTAGGAACCACCATTGATCTGGATGTCTTAATGTATATCAGTTTTAGTCTCTGCAGATTTTTCTTTGGTAGTGGGAATTCAACTCAGGACCTTGACAGTTTTCTACACAGGCCTTGTGGCACTGAGCTACATATCTCCCCCCTCCCCCCTTTAATGATTTTTGTAAGAAAAGGGAATTGAGGCCCATGAAAGTTAGTTGACTACCTCTGGCTGTACTTCATTCAGCATTTTATTGAAGGCCTGTTGTATATCAGGTATAGAATGAGGTATCAGGGATTAAGGGTGAGCATAAGAAGATATGGTCACTGCCATTGAAGCATTCATGATTTTGTCTTCATTAATAATGTGAT